AAGATATGTCTCAGCGATGGTGAGGATATTTTGAGGAACTTGTTAACCCTCATCAACTGCAGGGGTGCTCGTTGAAAGAGCATCAGAGAACCGGAGGACCCCATTTTGGCGCAGCTGATTGGGTGTAGACCGGTAGATGATTGATGCCAGTGCTCTGTCTTGTGGTCATTGCTTCAAATCTGTATAGCTTGGCAGTCAATGGGTAGGTCTCAATGATTGAAGTAAGATGCCGCGGTCAAACTGTAAGCATCAATAATTTTCACTTTATTTTATAATTCCATTGTGGTGAATGTGCACGGTCGCCAGTGAAAGATTAAATCAAGTAATTAATACAGATGACAACCTGCTATTAAATAAACTTAGAGCCCCAATCAAATCACAGTGCCTTAACTAAACGACCTCGCTCAGTCACCACGATTGAATAATGAAGTAAAATTAAAATCCTTGATATACACACTTTAACAAAGGCATCACATTGTATTCACGGAGAGCTTTCTATCGATAGGCAACATGTTGGGCAAGGTCAAATAATTGATGCAGATGACCCTCTGTTTTTGACATAAATTCAGCTTGCGACGAGACAACGCCTTCGCATTTTACTCACAGAGAGCTGCACATTGACTGTAGGTAGCTGGTCTTACATGACTGACTGAATCACATTGTTGATGCTGTTGACCACTGTCCAGTTATACAGGTTCACTGGGGCGACAGCAGGAGGAACGAGCACTGACACCATCCAGCGGTCTGCGCCCCAGCGGTTGCAGCAAAATGTTCCATTCCATCAGGGGACAGAGGATGTCAATCTTTCAGCAGATAAAGTCGCAGAAATTGTAATATGTTTCAAAAGTGGCAAGTGGAAATTTCTAGACTTCAAGTTTACGTTTGTACCTTGTGCTGATTTTTGGTCAGCTGTCAGGTGGACAAGGCGAATTTCATGCGTAAAGCACATGCATCACACAGCATATTCTTGTGTCTCGGACGCTTTGGCAGGGACACAGCCACAGCAAAGCACAACACCGATCTTTTTTTTCGCAGGTCATCCACCTGCTACTCGTTTTTCGGCGGGTTACATCGAGACACAGTGGGATGAATTCCTTGCTGAAGCGAATTAGCAGTTAATATGAGAAAATTTATGCCCCGCGTTGGGCGTGAACACAGCACCTAGAAACCTAGTAACCCACTGCCCCCCTCTTTGTCAGGCGAACAAGGTATGCTTTTACCAGCACGTATTCATGATGATGTGGAGGCAGTTAATTTCAGCAAACGTTATGAGGCGGAAGTTACGTTCGTTTCGTTCTCCTCAACCAAACCGGTTGTTTCCTTTCCTGTTATGGCGTTCAAACCTCCTTGGACGATTATGAATATGGGTATCGACGGTGATTTCCATTTCCTCGTTGAGCTGTTCATTGTCTGCTTGTTGCACTGGGCTGTGAACTTCGACTCTCTTTAAGAATCCTTTCTTGTCCGCCTGCAGGCTTTGTACGGCGACACGAGGTGACATGAAGTCGCAGCTGACTGCGAGGTGCAGCCCTTTTCTTTATGACGATCCCAACACCTCCTGTCTCAGTCCAGCTTTCTTACCCTTTCCGTGGGAATATTTGATCACTTTGTTCTACTGTGCGATAAGGTTGATGGATTTTCAGGTTTCTCAAACGCTGAGAAAACTTGCTTTGATCTTTTCTCTTCAATGATGCACATTTAGACTGAGCAGTTAGCTACAGAGGATATTCTTGAGGATATTCTTTTTCCCGTCCATTTGTGCCAGTCGCGTCCAGACCATCATCGGCCATAAGTGATCCCAGGTTTTGGAAAGCCCAAGCGGTAGCTTGTCCTTACAAACCCGGTATTCTTCGGTGTTTGGTGAGTTTCATAGCCAATTATTTCAGGGTGCCAACTTATGGGCACTATAACCTCCATCCTCCACAGCGTTCAGTCAGGAAAAAGGAACGATGTCAACGCGTCAGTTGATTTGTGTCGGGTCTCACTCCATTAGAGAGAACCCCTTGCCGCATATTCCGCCTGGTCACCAAGCGGAGGGTGACTAAAATGAGTCTGTAAAACTGCAGTGATTACGAGAACCACTGGTTGTGAAACTGTTTTTTAGTCGAGTCTCGATTTGTCCATGCAGGTCTTGTCAACCATCCCTACGTTGACGCTCTCCAAAACAGAAAATGGCATACTGCGTCTTAGATGCCATGTCTTCAGGAGATGTTCCGAGAACACGTCCAAGCCAATAGAGCCGGTGATCTCGAATGACCTTTGAAATTCTGGCAACTCTGCCACGGCTGCGGGCCTCGGATTTCCGCAAATTGTCAAAGGGACTCAATGCAGATGCAGTAACGTGCGACGGACCCACTGGTCGAATACCCTAAACGGCTAATGTCTTCCACGAGGAAAGACCAAAATTCACAAGCACCCTGTAAGATCGATCTCACAGTGTTGCAAGATGCGCAGTTTCTCTCTTAGGCTGATTTCCTGACAGCTCCAAAGAGGTTGCGAGGCTGGAGGAACGCTCCTCTCGCTAGCGTTACATATGTTGCAATTTCATGCTTCGATTGGCCATAGAGTAACACGATGGAACCAAGACACAAGACACTTGAAGGCTCCAAGTTCTTCGACGGTTCTTCTCCATCAAGGATCGTGTCATGGCTGTTTGTCTCCCTCTGATGTCTGAAGAGCATGTCTTTGTTTTTGAGGTATTAAAGTATTATGGTCCAATGCATATTCTAGTCAGAGGCATAAACGTAATAGTCTGATGAGGGAAGACAGGTTTATGGAACTCCTGAATATATATCAAAGAGCCCCGTATCTTCTCTGCTCTATAAGCAAAAATATTTATTCGGGTCCAGTTGTAATATCCTCATGATTAACCAAATTAGTTTCAGTCGGATGCCATCAAACCGTATGATATGTCAGGTATGAAGAATCACGGTGGACCGAATCGAAGGCAGCTGTTATGTCCATAAAACCGATGACATTTGGCTGTTGATTCAGCGATGGTCCACATATCCACAGTCGATTCAAAAGCCGGTTTGATTCGGTCGTATTCGAGCATCTCCTGCTTTCTCAAATCATCGCTACAGGAGGGTGATTAAAATTTTTCCTGCTTCATAAATTGATTTAGCTCCATCGATAGTCCTTTCAGAGCGTTTGTTCGCTTTTTTAAAGAAGTGGAGTAGTACTGTCAGAGTATCAGAGTACAGTAGTACCTCGGTCTTGTGGGAACCGTTGTTCAACGCAGATCTGGCAGAACAGTGCGCGTTAGTATTCTTTCAGGGACTGAAGTGATAATTCTCCGTTGCCAATTCCTTATGCCGAAGGCTATTTGTAGCTTAAGGCTTCCTATGATATCCGCTACTCCTCGGAGGTCTGTATTAGGTCGTTGGGCTTGCTTACCACTGAGGAGTTTACTACCATCAGTGGTTAGCCGACTTCAATGACCGTTGCTTCAGTGACATTCCACGTGACCGTTGCTTTCCACTCATGTCGATCACGTGCAATGGTTGCCACCAGGTTCAGCCAACCTTTTTTTCATCGTTTGTACCCAGAGATTGTGCGAGCCGAGGTAGAGCTCCAACGTCAACTCTGAAAGTTAACTCAGCTCCAGGGGATATAATCTGGTGGACGTTTTATGACAAACCGTAAAAAGTTCGACGATGTTGTACGAGTAGTGATTCTTGTGTTATTATATGGTCGATGAATAATAAACGAGATAATTGTAAATACTAGCGGTTGGGGGATTCTTTTACCATTAGAAGATTAGTCAATAATTAGAGTCTGAAATATTAAATGTGACGGGATCATATTTTTTTAAGAACCATCCTGTCTCCTGTGACACCGCTAATACCTCTTTGCTATGCCATGCTTTGTTAGCCCTTTCTTGCGATAGACGCCAGATGTCCGTTTGTGCAGCAGGGCTTGAATAACGAAACAGCAACTTATGATAGCTGCAATGAAGCGTTAGCTAATATAAACCAACCGGGAGATCAGTGCAAAATCACCACACCGCACGAACCCAACCGACTATACATCGACAGTTAGTTTTGCATCGGTTATACCGAGAAATGGACTTTACCAGTGATTCCAGTGAAATAGTGAAGCACTGACTCAATTAAATGAGTAATTCAAGTAGTTAATTTACATGTGTCAATTTCTAAAGTTTACTGGATTCCAGTCATATCCCTGATTTTCATAATTCTTCAAAAGAAAATTTCCAAAAGCGTAGGTTCGTGAGTAGCTCTCTGTTCCTCAGCGCTACACATCGAGACTGCGATGCAAATACGTTTGAATCATCACTGAACAAAAATTCTGGCAGGTGATCATATTTTTGGGCTGGATTAACAGGCATGATTTCTGTCTTGTACGTCGTCAAGAGCAGATGGGCCGGTCACGTGGCATTCCTTACAGGCACCCGGTGGGCGTCGAGAATTTTACCCTGAGTTCTGCCAGACCACCAACATCGACTCGGTGATCGAAGAACACGCTGGGATGATCAGACGGTGAAACCACTTCGACATCATCAGTGGAAGCAGGAAGTGGAAAGTGGAGAATGCAGCAGCGTCTTCTTGGAGCAGAACGATTGCAAATCGGACAACAGATTATTCCATCGTTGTGCTGTTAATAGTCATTCACCCGGGGCAAAATCGAGTTCCTCTTTCATTCGTTCATTAAACAAGTCAGACGGACGGTTTTCGGCATTTTCGGTAATACCAGAGGTAGTCACTTCTTGTCTGAGTCACGCACCTGACGAGTTGCCTAGGCTGTCTGTTGTACAGTTATATAAATGTTTATGCAAATGTGATGAAAAGCTAGTATACGCATTAAATTTTGGACATACGCCTCAAATCAGTGGGGTCGAAAAGTCTTAAAGACGATGAACACCTTCGTAATAATTCGATAAGTTGAGACGATGGCGAAAATCGAACATAGAAAATATCACTTTCATTCTGAGTGAAAGAAATAAACAAAAATCGATTAACCGTTTATAATTAATTTATATCCAGATTTGTTGAAACAAATAAATATTTATATGAAGAGAAACATCTTCATTCTTTACGACCAGAAGGAAAAGCAGTTGAGTCGCCAAGCGCCTTTTTGGGCTTTGAGGTCATGCGATGCCGGGTCGCATTTGAATGCAGGTCAGTAGAAGCATGTGTCGTCGTTGTTTACTAAATGATCAGGTGACCGTAATTTTCTGTGCTCTGTGTGACCTCTCGCCGAGCGGCGACTTTCGGGGGCCGGCCTGATTCTCCTTCGACCCTGCGTGCCCTTCGCGTTTAGGGCGATTACGGAAGATCCTCTCTTCGCTGCCGTGGTCGTTGAGCACCGTTGATCCGTCGTCGTCGGAACCGCCGAGGCGAGCCTCACTCGCCAAGAGGCGTCCGTCCTCATCCACCCACAGCTGTGCGCGCGTCGGAGTCAGTGCGTCAGCGGCGGTGAGGGCAATTTGACGTATGGCGCGTCAGGTGGTGGTGGCCATGCGTTGCGCGTGAAGGGGGCCTCTGTCATTTCGTGTGCTGCTCGTCCTTCAACCGCGGCGTGTGCTTCCACCAGTACATCTGTGCCGCCCTG